TCTTTCCGCCTCCCAAACCTTATTGTTAAGCTTAACAAATGCATAATCGCCTCTTTTTTCATGATTTTTTCAGTCTTTTTGGTTGCCACTCATGCCACTTATAAACCCCTCTTCCCTTTTCCTACTTTCGTCTCTCCATCAATTACGCCCGTGCTTAGGTTGTAATTAGCATCCCTAACTCATTCATTCCGAAGCGCTGCTTTAGTTTTCTTACCAGAACTTCTGGTCGAAAGCGCAAGTCACGCCGGACTCATGGCGACCTCGGGGCCGGTAGTCCCGATGCTGTGGCCCTTATGACAGCCGGAGCTCCCGGTCAAATCGGCCATCCTCTACCATTGGTTGGGATCCATCCGCCCAGCGGACCGGCCGGTATCGGAGGTGGAGGTGCCGGAGGCAGCGGTGGAGCTGGTGACAGTGGCATCATCGAGGTTGGCGTCGGCTCGCCGATAGAGGATTACAGACACGATCGACTCTCAACTGCTCGCGCTGCCGGCGGTGGCCGACGATCACCGCACTTCGAAGAGACCAACCGCTTCTGGGGTCGCTCGTTGGTGGGCGACGGTGAGGCTGAGGGTCGTGGTACTGGGGCCGAGGATGAGGACGAGGAGGACGAAAATGATTACGATGATGAGGATGAGGAGATACTCGGCCCTCTTGGTCATGAAGACCGCACCACCGGCCAAATACTCTGGATTCGTGGGCTTTCTAGGCTCCAGACCCAGGCGAGTTTTCCTCCTCTCATTGCTTGTCATGCAAATTCACATTCACACTCACACACCAACACACATACACACGCACATACACGCACGTGCACTTACTCTCTCATCCACACATTGACAAACATTCGTTCGTCTGTCCCGGAGCGTTGGACCGTTTTGCCAATCGTCTTTGGTCTCTATCGCCTACCGTTTTCTGGTTGGATTCATTACCCTCTTATATAACCTTTTCTCACGGATGTATGCTCTTCCTCCTTCCATATATGTCTATTTTGGCACGCTTTGATAGTTATGCACGCCTATGTTTTCCGCACCCTGTGGTTTAATCCTTCTGGGTCTAGCACGATTTCTGACGTTCTATTCATTTACTCTATCCAAATAACCAAAAGTGCTATCTTGATCTGGTAAAACTGTCACTTGTGACGTTGAGTGGTCGCTGCTCTGTCATCTAGGTCTTCAGAACGAGGCAACCATTTTGGTTGCTAGCTTCATCTTGCCCGTTCACTTTAAATTGCACAATAATTATATCGAGGAGGTTTCAGCCTTTATGCATCCGACTGCTCTTTCTATATTCTAACTTCGAGAACCATCTTGTTCATACAGACATTGCATGTCTTAGTTAGGGCTGAATGCATCTGATGTTGCCTTAGTGAAATGAATCTTTCCTCGACTCTCGCCAGATGCATTGTACTTATCTGGCTGGATGGCAAATGCACTCCACACTACAGGGGCTTTGGATCCGCATTTAAAGTGTCTGATTTTTTATTTTGTCCCAGCAATTTTGCATCATCTTATTCCTTCACCACAAGTTTGAAGGCCTTCCTACACTAATGGCTGGATTTGTGTTGTATCCTAATGCTAATAATGTGCGTTCTCTGAGAAGTCTTTGTTGTTTCAGTTCATCTTATCCCTAAATGAGATGATATCTTGAGTTCCTGCTTTTGTTCATAATCAAACCTGGTTGAAAAGGGTCTCTGATAAAAGTTGGTAGTAGCGCAATCGAAACTCAACTAGTCCTATTTCTTTAGTCGTTTTACAACAAAAAATCCCATTTTTATGCCTTTAACAAATGTGGATTATTAATTAATCTTAATACTTCTTTACTTTTTAATCTGGTATACTTGTGAACTCACTGACTAACATTTCAGCCCGTCTGCAAAGTGGAATTCAAACTTTAATTCCTCACAAATCTCTTTGGCATGTAAAATGTCCTTCCTGTCAGAATTACTTTATGTTGAAAGGGTCTCTTCCTGATTTCATGGCTATTATCACTTTATGAGTGATGTCTTTTTGTAACGGGAAAAAACGCAAGCCAATGTGGGATTTTGTTGTTTTTTAGGGTGATCCTTTCAGACTATGGTTGATCGGAATAAAATCTGCAAACTACTTTTTCGATTAGTTTTCCACATAATATTAGACCAACACAGACAAGGATTTTATCCAATTTGGTGAATATTCTTAAGTTGAGTGTTCATACTCGCATCATTTTTGGCGTAGCAAAATAGGCTGGCGTAGGTGCTTTAATATAAAGTTGCCTTTTCTTTGTAGTAAAGAAAGGAGGAATTGGTTAATAGATTGGTAGATGGAGTGATGTTTGTCTTCCCAAAATGATGGATACTTCAGTGCTTCTGTGTAGTGAGTATTGGGTCCAATAGCTTCGCATTTAAAGCCATATTTCTTTATTTCTTCCAAGATAGCATTTTTTTTAGTCGGTTCTCTCTTTTTTTTAATTATTTTGTCCAATGTTTCCCTTCATTTTATGCTTGCAGCCTTAAAAAATGTATTTTTCGAAATTAATTTAATCCGCTTGCGCTCCTGGACTCTTACCTCTTCTTTTTGACAAAGTTCATGTTGTTTATGCCCTCTACTTGCGTCTTAGGGCTGATTTAGCTTTCCATTTATCATTGCAAATATACTCTTTTAGAGCAATGATGCGGTTAGATTCACACAAATACCCTTCCAACATATAAGCCTCGAGGATGCACATTTGCAGATATGCTTCTGAAAATTTCATTATCGCTGCTACTGTAACACATTTGCTAATATGAGCTGAGATGCCTGGAAATGCTCCTCTCGAACTCTCTTTAATTGCATTTGTATGATTGATATTTCAACTTTGAGCGCTTGCCAGCCGTACGTTCAGGGTAGCGATGTTAGATCTATCAGAGGATCTCGTTTGAATAGCACTGCCCGATTGTTTTCGCGCATCGCTAGTGTCATCATGCACGAGTAACAGAAAAGGTGAAAGTCTTGCTTTTTCCCTAGTTTTCCATTGATCCACATATCTGAACCATTGGTTCCTAGCTCGGTTGGGCCCTTGTTGTGACCTCGCTAATGTGACCTGAAACCTGGGCGTCATTGGTCCAGAAGCGAACACACCAGTCCCTGCTCCAAACGGTGCTTAGGACATTTCATCAACTTTAAACCGTTTTAACGCGGGCTTGTTAAGTACCTGTTGGGTCTGAATCGTCCGATGGTCTTATTTTATTTTAAAAGTGGGTTGACTTCGTTGTCACAACTTGGTCTTGTGGTCAGAGAGACTTTGTAGAACTCATCTAGTCCGAAGTCGTCTGCCATAGTAGTTGTCATGATTCTCAGCATCTCACAGTGGACTTGATATATTCTCAAACGTTTCGCCTGCATCGTAGTCGGTATCATCAGTGAGCTTTACCATTCTCCGAGCCAAGCTAGGAACTCGTCAAAGAGACAACCGTTCGGCTGGAAACGGGTACACTATCACTCCTCTTTATGTCATTGTCTATCTATCTACTTTTTACCCTCTTATCCCACTGCCGCCCTATCACAACTTGTCACTTGTTTCCATTCAAATCATTAAAATGTGTGCCCTTTTGTGGCAAACCGAGCGACAGTGGGATAAGAGGGTAAAGACTAGATAAATAGACAATGACCGTTTCCGGCAGAACGGTTGTCGAGGGATTGACTTCACTTGTCTCTTTGGCGAGTTTGTAGCTTGGCGTGGAGAATGGCAGCACTGACTGATGATGCCGACTACGATGCCGGCGAAACGTTTGAAAATGTACCAGGTTAA